ATCAGAACAGCAAACCGGTGAATTAAAATGACTCTAGCTCTCATGTGGTTGAGACTGTTTGAACTCAATGGGCTTGAGAAAGCCCTGTCCAGTTGCTCAGAGTCCCAGCCTGCCGGTATGCGGCGGACGTTGCATCTATGACACACACACACAAGGACTGACGCCACCTTTCCAGTGAGACCTCAGAGGGACTCCACTGATCTTGGCACAGACGTGAAGCACAGAAAAAGAAAACATGCTGCTGTCTCAAGCACTGAAGCTCTCATATTTCCATAACCATATATAGAGCAATGAGCTGATTACTCACTTTATATATACTGTTTTACACCAACAGCTGGCAGCAGTGACTTGGCCTGGCTTTTTTCTCTGATTTTGTTTTCATAGCTCCATGGAAACTACCAACAGTAAAGAACAAGGTTTTGAGGCTATGCTGTTACCTTTTACTACAGAGGCATCTTGCTCCCACCCTTCCTCGCACAACGCTGAGATGCACTTTCACCCATTTTCAGGCTGAAAAGTCTTCACCAATAGATAAGCGCGAGACTGACCGGATCAGCTTTCTTCACCAAGGTCCTGTCCTGACAGCCCAGGGAGGATCGGGGCTCTCCGAAAGCCGGAGGAAGGGCAACCGGACAGAGAGTATGAGAGGGGACAACCTCAGATTGTGGCATTGCTGTAGGTGGATCCTAGTCCCTGATTTTGAAAGGTGAGCTAAAGACTTCTACATTTATCCATGACTGGCAAGTCATTGCCATGCCTAGGCCAGGATTACCTTAGCTTCCCTTCATAGTTATTTCAAGTAAAATACCTGAAATGCCATCCTTTGGGGAAAGCTTACCAATTGCAAGAATGACAAAGCACTATATATATAAGGAATTACTTAACCTGATCTTTGTGCATTAAGGAACTAATTGCCTTGCTTAAACCAGCACGAATAAAGTTTCAAGAGGTTTTGCCTGTCCTGTTTTTCAATGACAGCGTCCAGGCAGACACTTGAAGAGATTTAATATATTCAAGAGGCCGATGATTAAGGAGGGCTATATTTACATAGCATTTCAAGATATAAGCAGCCTTGTGAACTATTAAATACAGTGATATTCTTTACTTAACAGGTGTGGTAGTCTATGGCTAATACAGCACGTGATGCCATGAAAACGACACAGCTTTTTTCCCTCCCCATGGTGTGATTTCAGAGGCTGAAAGGTAAGCCATGGAAATCAACACACTGAAATTCTCTTGCACAGTTCAACTCAGCTCAGACTTTCCACTCAATGGCTTCCACCTTTTTTTAACAGAGAGAAGCTGTGCACTACAAATTTTTCACAATTCAGAATTTTATACTTTCCCAGTTCAGAAAGAAATGCAATACAAGCCTGAATTGTCTGATATTAAACAAAGATCAGTGCAAGATGAGCCTCCTTTCAAACGCCTTTTGTTTTCAGTGCAAGGCTTAGGTGCTTCACCCACTGAAAAGCAATAGTGTACAGACACCAAGAAGCTAACCAAAAGGTGCTACAACTGAATATCAAGTGCACAAGTGAATTTGCACACATGCTTATAATAAAAACACATATAGTTTTAGCTATGGATAACATACAGATAATTTTTCATTATGAATTTTGTGAAAATTATTACTGATAAAGCCCTTTTGAGAAGGGCTCACCCCAAAACATATTTTTCCTTGCACCTTTTTTTGCAGACTTTGATGGGAAAGCCTAATAAAGCCAAAGAAAGAAATCCATGGGGCCAGACTAAAGCATGACTGTAACCCAGTCATGGCAAGGGCTGGTATGTTTCCATACTTCGCATCCCTGCTGACCTGTTGCAAACAGCATTCACCAGAGCCTTAACCGGAGGAGACTCCACAGCTGTATTACAACATCCTTGGAAAAATCTTTACTCTTCAGTCTTGGCTAACTTATCATTTACAACCGTCTGTACTGAAGCTGCGCTCGCCTGGCTACTCCCTTCAGCGTGGGAAGGATGCCTGGCTGAGGGAGAGGAACACGGTGTTGGACGACAGTAACACCCACGGTCCAGTCCCAGCTACACAAAATGACTCATTGCCTGGCCCTGGGAAACACCAATTAATTTTCGTATCTGATTTCATTATTTGCCTCACAGGAATGCTGGGGAGACTAGTTAATACCTGTATTTAACTTAGGAAAGACAATCAACATAGAAATACAGGAACTATCACGACTGATCAGAGCAAGCACAATGAATGCCTCAAAAGAAAAGAGAGAGAAAAAAAAAATAAAAGCAAAACATTGCACAACTTACAACCCAGATCTCATTTTCGTTTTTAGAAACTATGAGACTGGTTTAACTTTAGGGATGAAGTTACTGTTTTGGAAGGAAAACTAATTGCTCACTGCAACAACCCGGGATACTCTTGTCCATGTAAGTCACACCAAATATTACAGGGAGTTTGACAAAACAACACGCCTGAGAAATGGCAGCATTAGAGCTGAACTCCTCTTTGTAAGAGCATCTTGTAAGGGTCTCTGTCCCAAAAGATTAACTTCTTCAAGCAACAAACACTGGACAAATGCCCCAGTAAGCAACCATGGCCCTATAAATGGCCCAGCTGACTTCACCCGCTCTCTTGCTGCCAGGCGAGCAGCCCACGCTTTCCTTTTCATGAATTCATGGCAATGCGAATGGCAAGCCCTTGCTGATGCAGGCGTGGAAACCTGCACCTCTGCAGCAACCCTTACTCTGTGCTATGCTTTTACCCGCCTGCAGAATGGCTATTAACAACAATATCAGCAAATTTCATCAACAAGCTTTTCTTAAAGAATGCTTTGGGATTTTTAGATGAAAGGAGACAATGAGAGGCAAGTTACATTAGTTCCAGTGTTACTACCACTACTAAATAGATGTGTACCCTTGTAACGTTAAGTGGGCATCCGAAGCGTGTAACTGCCTGTTCACTAAGAGAAATAACGTTCCTGTGAGATACGCTTTTTAGCATATTTTCCCCACTTACAAAATCGTACATTGGTCTTTCAGAAGCATTCCCCTTTGCAGAAGGGAAGAGGCTATGTAACACATCGCCATTCAATATGCAATCTAGATTAATACACGGGTACTACAACGCTATTTTTTTTTCACAGAATACTGAAAACAAAGGACATTATTTTCTCATTATCAAGGTACAGATATGCTTTGTTCCTTCTTTGTATCCTCTCACTAACCTACAGCTTTTCCTAAACGCTCCTGGAAGGACAAAACAATCCAGTCTGAATTTGAGCGAAATGGAACAGCAGGGAAAAAATACAGGTAGGGCCTCCTAAGGATTTAGTTCAAGTATGATACACCTCGGAGAATAGGCCAAGATGGAAAAGAGGTTCTTGGGAATAAAGGAACACCTTTCCCTCTCTCCTTATGAACCTGCCTAGCTTTTGCTTTGCTACTTCCTGAACGAACAGCAGAGGAAACTGGTTACAAAGATGTGCTTAATTCCTCTATGACGCCGGCGCATAATAAATGGGGAAATAACCAAAGTGGAACCATTTTTCTTGAGAAATGGGGGAGCGTGTGCGCGGAGGGGGTGGGGGTAGCATGCCATACTTAAATGATGACAACTTCACTTTTCCACAAAGAACCCATAAAACATCCCTCCGAGAGCTAAAGGTTAGAACAAAAGCTAGCCAGCCTAAAATACTGTCATCGCAGTGAAGAAACCAGACCACCGCTAGTCTGAGCCTGTTTTCTTATCCAAATTAATTTTGTGTTGCTCTGAAAGTTTTGGGTTTTTTCTATTTTAATTGGGCTAACTCAGTGATTTAGAAAGAGATTTTTCATTTTGTTATGTAATTAAGCTCTTATACAAGCAAGTTATATTTCTGGCAATTTTCAAACTGAAAACTCAAAAGCTTACTTTCCTAAAAAAAAAAAAAAAAAAAAAAAATCCTCACTTTTTTCATTTAGAACATTTGCTATATTTGTTTGCATCAAAGCTGCATTTTCCAGAGAACAAACTATTACCTCAAATCCTTTCCTTATCTTCAATTGGTTGTTCTATTTTAAAAAAAACTGTTACCTCACTCAGTCACAACAATCCCACTGCCACCTTACAGCGTTGTTCCGTCAAGTCACAAAAGCACACCCATGCTATGAAGGAGTACTACAAATACATAACTTTAATCCTCAAATTTTTCTTCCAAAACGGACAGCCCAGAAATCTTGTGGCAGCTGACAACATCTAAAAAGCCCCTCAAAACTGTTGCAGATTTTAAGTGAAAACTCAAAAAGTTACACTGAAGGCAAAAACATTCCTAGATGTTCCTTTGAGTTACTAGAACAGATAGGAACACAAAGGGCATCTTGATTGAGGGTCAGATGCAGAAATCAGTGTGGGTGCCCAGCCAAGCTGGGCCGCACACCCCACAGGTGTCAGTGGCCTGTGCTAACCTCTACGTTTCACAGCTACTTTGGAGTTAGCTCTACACAAAGAATCTATATTCTTATATACACCCTGCAGATAAAGGCCCAGAGTTGGGACTTCACTCAGCGGTACAATATCAAGGTAGCATATGGTTAATTATCATTACAGTCTTGCAAATTAGAAAGGGAATACCCAGATCCCGGGTCCCTATTTCCTCCAGCAGATTTGTTTTCCTATCCCAAAGGACTGGCTGAAACAATCTACTTCTAAAATATAGAGCTGGACCACACCTACACCAGTGAAGGGACTTGGATTGTTTTCAAAGGCTGGTAACGAGCTAGCCTTACGAGTCGTATGCTAAAAACGTATTTTTTTTCCCCCTCTACCAGTGCCACACATGGGCCTCTACTTCTAGTCAACATCTGGGACGCAGAAACCTCACACACTGAAGCAACACGTGGCTCCCCTCCGGCGTGAGAGTCTTCCAACAGTTACACTTGCAGCAGATACATCTCACTTAAAGGAGCGCAAGAGACAATGCACATTCGGGGCTTGGTGTCGGGGTTAAACATTCTTCCTCTTACACGTGAGCTATCGAGATACACACCTTAGGTCTGAAATCGGGCTGGTATTTAAAGCTGAATAATGGAAGGAGTTCCCAACGTCACAACTGAATTCAATAAAGCTATACAACAATTCCACTTGGGAATATGCTTGCTGCTCTCTTGAATGAGCTAACAGAAATATCTTGTAATAAAAAGGGCTCTGTTCCAAGAACAGTGCATTGCGGACAATGCACAGAATTAACTGCGGCTGTTTCTGACCACTGACCAAACTCACTGCTGCATGCTTAACATCACGTCTGTACTACACAATGCCTCTGAGCACTCTCCTGTGCGATTAGCGTACACAATGTGTTGGGGGCTGATGAGGGCATTTCTATTTGTAAAACAGGTGTGGTTCAATAGCATTTTATGCTGTTTAGTGCCTTGATTTTGTGAAATACAAGGGCTCCTATTTGCAAGAGAGGAACTGAACTAAGAGGTGCAAGCCACTTACAAAGTACAGGAAGACATGTGTAAGCTTCCCACATGCAGCCTGCCAAACACGCTTCTCCCAGGGCTTGGCCCTCGGTAATCAAGGGCTGCCAGTAGCTTCTGCTATGCCAAACTGCATAGTTACTTCCCTGTGAGATTACAGGCGGGGGGGATTTGGACGAGACTTACCATTTCATGTCAAAACTTCACTCTGATTTAGCAGAGCAGAGTCCAAAACCCTAATGTGCAAAGGAGATCTTTAATCTGAAAACCAGGCTCTCAGCAGGTGGGAAGCTACAGCTCCACTTAAGTCACTCTATCTATGTGATCTAGTGAAAAGACCAGCTCTCAAATTCGAGTTATACATCCTTCCTACCATGCCCATGGCTTTTGGTGTTTGGTGGGTTTTTTTGGAGGGATGGTTTTTTTGTTGTTGTTGTTTGTTTGTTTTAATCTGTTAACAAATGGAAAAAAGGACCTAATATTTGAAGAAAACTGAATTGAGTAATCTTTAAAGTCTAGTTTTGTAAGAGTTACATTGAAGGGCGTGTGTCACATAGACTGAGTTTGCGTTCTGTGATCAGGGAAGGAGGAAGTGTTTTGGAGAAGTTGGTCAGTGCTAGAGAGGAGTGGGCAGAGCAGCCACTTGCTTCTCTTTTACCAACAGCATTATGGCCAGCTTATCTTTGATGCTTATGCATAGGAGCATATGGGACAAAGGCACAGATATGACAGCAAGACTCCAGAGGCACATGTCCTGTGTGCAGGATTACACTAGGATGTACAAAAGGCTGTATCTATCTTGTACTGGATAGTACAATGCATTCCCCTCCAACCTCCTGGCCACAGAGGACCTCATATCTCACCTTACTGCTACAATAGGTCACTTAACTGCAAGCTGTGTGCTTGGGTAGTACAACCAACGTGACCTGAAAGTCACAGGAAGACTATATGCATGCGTAATAAGTACTTGTCCTGTATCTCAGAAGTCACCACGAGAGAGGATGGCCACATGAGCTTTGGACTGGACTATCTGATGTGTCATACACAGCTCACAGGCCACATGCGTGGTGTATTATACCACTTTATTGAGCCATGATTTGAGATGCCATTAGGAGGTGAAAACCTTTTTTATATTTCTGTAAAATAGTTAGTAAATGAAACAGCATTATGGCAAGTATCTGCTACCTTGTAATTTCAATTTTCGTGTCGTCTGTGTGTACTTTGCTTTAAGACCGAACCTTGGCTGTAGGCCTAATAAAAGAAGCCCCATATGCTTAGACAGCATGACAAAACGTCTCACTGCGTACTAAGCCTGCTGAGCTGTATTATAAAGACCAGTCAGAAAAATGCCAACCAATGCAACCCGTACAAAAGAGAGAAACTTTCAGCCCAGAATACCCAAGAGCACGTGCCTACAAGTGACCACATGCGTGCATGCACGCAGCCTGGCTTGTTCCGAACCCAAAAAATCCCATAAGCCAAGAAAACAAACTTCACTCTTTTCCCTGAGTGGGAGTCTGTTTAGCGCAAGCACTTGTTTCAGACATCTGACTAGGAAAAGAGTTCCAAAACATTATTTTTTTTTTCAATAAAGTCCTTACATATTGAATAGGCTTGAGGGATTTGATTGTAGCAGTCGGGCAGCCACAGGAACTGAGGTCAACATAGAGGCCTTCTTCCAGCACACAGTGATTGTCAGTGATTTCCCCTTGGTAATACAGGAGCCAACTGCAAGAATAATGTAACAAAAAAGATTAGCTGCTCTAGCTGCTTATTAACAGTAAGGTTTTTTTCAAGATTTAATATTTGCTAAGGAAGTAAGGAATAAAAAAATCTGTTTGTTCTTCTTAAGCTTAAAAGTAAGGTGACTTGAAAGGCTATGCGACAAAGCAACCAAACCAGCAGAATGAAATCATGTGGTACAGAAATCTCAGTTCCAGAGTCAAACGACGTGAGTGGAATGCAGACACTTCTACTGTACCACGTTCTCAAAATCTGGAATAAATTCTAACTGGAGTTAAAAAAAGAATCGCAGTAACTGTGCAAGCTTCCCACAGGGAAACCAAATGCATACTACCCAAACCAATGACAGGACAACGGTTACTGAGACGTATTGCAAGACAAAGGGTCTAAGACATGATGGAATATGATGGGCATGTGTTATGCACTTTCAGCTGTCAGAAATTTAGTAGTGGTTAAAAAAATGTCCATATTACTTAAAATGGTGGCATGTAAAACAACAGACTTACCATCCCCGAAGAACCTTAAAAGAACATGGTATGAATGATGTAAAATCAGAAACTTCTGCTGTGAAATCTATACATGCTCCTTGGAAATGTGTATTACTGAAAGCTTTGAGCTACAAGAACAAAACAAAACAGAACCAATGACTAGAAGGAAAACAAATGCATTATCATTAATGTAAACAGAAATAGCTGCGCTCTTAGGAAAGCATCCATTCAATTCACAAAGATACAATAAATAGAACGAATTCTCATTTAAGGAATCTCTTACATTTCCACAGCTGCTTTATTTTTAGAAAGATCAAGTGTTTTATCGTCTCTGGCCCTGGTACAGGATGCTTCCCAGTGATGCTAAGGTAGCGGTATGAAGCATAAGTTCAACTGCAGCAGGAGAGGGCCCAGAGAAAAAGAGAAGGCTAAGACTGAAGGATGTTATTTTCCAGCCAAAGTATCCCTGAACTGCAGCTAACTCTTGCTACAGCTCAGCAATCCAGTGTTCAAAACAGGACGGGGAAATGTTGGTCAAAAGACACAGGGTTACTGTTGACAAAGTGCCTTGAAATCTTCTGTAACCACAGTGATGGCAGGTAGTTTCTCACTTAAGAACTAGCAGGAGAATTTTCGGGGGAACCGAGTACAGCCTAGTAGATGCACCATGAACTTCTGAAGTTCAGCTAAGCTGTTTTTACACATCGTGGTGAAGAACTTCAAGCCACATTGAACCATACCCCACCAGGAAGATGTGATCAATTCACCCTGAAAAAGCAATAAGGCTGAAATGTTGCAGTAAAAGAAAAAAAGAAAAAAAGGAAAAAAGCAGTATGATATAGCCTATGATCTATAGCAAAGTCGCCTAGAATTCTGTACCCTTGGGCCGCCACTGTGTAACTGAGGTGAATTTCACTTTAAAGCTTGAAAGAGAGGCTGGAAAAGAATGAAAAATTTAACTGTATCAAGGGAACAGCTCATCTTCTGTAATGGAAGAAAAACACGATGGGCTGCTGCAGCGAGAGCTACTTCCCCCTCCATGCCCCAAATTGGCTAGCTTCCTGCCAAAGAAAAGAAATCAAATGCTTTTGCCAGTACAGAGCAAGAAGGCCAAACGCAAGGATCAGCAAATGATTTTATGGAAAAGCTCAGTCTATGTTTTTAAAAGACATGAATATGTTTCCTGTTAGAAAGAACAAGGCAGGCTTAACCTGGCCTGGCATGCTGTAACTGCAAATTGGAGAACACAAATCAGCTACAACATAACGAATAAAGCGTAACCGATTTTTTTGTAAATGTAATTGCACTGCTATGTCACAAGGCATCTATTTAAGCTGTAATTACATAGTATTTTCTACCCACTTATCTCAAAGCTCTTTATAAAGGAATATATATACATATACGCTTTCTTTCATAGGCCAGATGCTATGTGAGGCTTTTAAAAAAGATCTATAACTCATTTTCATACAGAAAATATCTAATAATGAATGATGGTTTTAATTTGACAAAAGCTGGGGTGAAGTACTGATTCCTCAGTGAAAACACTGCATATCTGCAATTAGTCTCAAACTGCAGCTATCTCTACTTCATCAGGGTTTGATATTACTATACGAGGTTTCGCTTCCTAAAAAGTCAACAGACAGCATGTTAAAATACAAATACAAGTTATCGCAGCAATTATCTCTGCTTCCTAAATCATCCATACAAGTCAGCTGCTATTGAAAGAGGCTTTGTTCTTGCTGGGCAAAACCAAGTTTTATTTTTAATAAATAAAATGCGTGGCTTTTTAGAGGTGGTGGCTTCAGGCATTCTTACGTTATATGTACTTTGTTTATTAGGGAGCCTGGCAGGATGAAAAGGTCAGGGGAGTTACTGAGAGATTTAAGAAAGTTTAGTTGCTTTTAAATTTCTGACGAGCAACTAAAAACAGAAGTGAAGACAGACACACTCCTGTAGACAGTGAAAACAGTTCCCTTCGCTCAGACATATGTTTATTAAAGGCGGGAGAATGTATAATCATTCAAAATAACCAGTACAGGGCTTATACAAGGGTCAAACATCAGGATGCTTAAGGATTTGCCAGCTCATATGCACCATGCTTTGAAGTTCCAAACTAAGACACTGTTGCATACATGGAAACTTTTATTTTATTCTGAATGGGAAATTCTTCATATTTATCCAAAAGACTGTCCTTTACTTACCCAAAGTGATTATATGTTTTCCCATAAAAACTTAGTCAAAAATATTTTCCCTCCTAAAAGAACTGTAGCAATATGAATGATGTTGTTCTTTCCCTAGCTTTAGGGCAGAATCCTATGAAAAACAGGATTGTGATAAATCAGGATAGTATTTTCTACAAATGGTGTTAAAGACTGCTATTAGAGAACACAAAAGGCAAAACACAATCTAGTACATGTCAGTATTTAAAGGTGACTGTGCATACACGCACACAGAGGTTCTTTTTCACGTATTACTGGAAATAAAAAGACTGTAAAGCACAATTTATTGAAACTTCAAAAGTTTGAATTGATCGTAAAGGTCTGCAAAACTGGATTAAAGCACTCAAAGGATAGTTTTTGGGAGGTCCTGAAAAAAATAGAAGAAATGAAGATAGAGAGAAAATGATCTTCAACTGTTTGGATCCCACCGGTTTCTTCCGACTCGGTTATTTTATCTGATATCATTTACCAAGGCCTTACTGCGAACGTACTTACAAGTCTTCGGATTTGGCCGCAAACTGCCATATGAATAGGTCTGGCAGGAAATCAGTGTTTAAGACTAAAATAATACACCAATTATGTCTTCAGACAGGAAACATTTCCTGTAGTCCTGGGTTAATCATAAAATTGTAGAACTAGAATACTTGGAGAAAAAAAAGGGTGTGGTCAACCTAAGTAACACAATGCATGTATTTCCCACGCGCTTATGGCTATACCCATCCAAGCAAGAAAGAGTAAAATTGTGTCCAGATGACAAACTTAAGTTTTCTAAAACAGAACCATTGAGCTCTAAAGTATCTCTTGTCTGAAAAAAGTCATGTTTCTTGAAATAAAGTCTTCCAAATTTGCTTAATTAAAAGCATATCATAGAGAGAGCAATATTAACGATTCTATCATTCTATGACTTTATAACCACTTAGATCATCACCCATGCCAGCAACATACTCCAGGACAGAAAAAGAGAAATCAAACAACTAATGCAGGAAGGGAGGAGAGCCCTGTTGGGACAGTACGTTGCGGGAGACACAGACCACGCTTGGTGATGAGCACAAACACTAATAGCAGGTTTTTGTTTTAGAAAGATATCACAAAGGTACATTAATGGGACATAACCTTGTAAGACAAGGACCAAAAGTGTTAAAGCCTAAACTAACTCGTTCTTGAGACTAAAAGTGAATTATAGGGACCGCTTTCTAAGTTGTCACCAAGTTAGACACAACTTTCAGGGAAATTGTCAGAACGTATCATAGAAGAGATTTATCATAGATTTATTATAATCAGGATGTGTTCAGTTAAGGTCATATGTTACTGTGAGGAAAAGGGAAGCACAGAGCAAATGGTGCCTGCTCCTTCAGGAGCAGCTATACATGCTTGGGAGACTATGAAAAGCAGAGCTACCAGCATACAAGACTAAAAAACCCAACCTCTCCTGTTGATGCATCTCCAGGTTTGAAGGGTGCAGTTCAATTTTCTGCAGTTTATACTTTCTTCTTCACCTCATATGTGAATAAGGTAGTGACAAACCAGGTACAATGCAAAATAATGGAAAGAAAATATGCCACAAAGAGAAAGATGAATGCATGTGATAGCAAGTTTGCAGAAGCAGGAAGCAAAGAAGAAAATAAATAGCTATAGAGACCCAAAGTCACTCAAAACCTACTGAACTGCTCGCATTTTTGAGGACAGAATACTAAAGGGTATGATCTGGAATAAAGCAAAGAGCAGAACATTAGCAAACTTAACCCTTATACATCTACCAGTATCCTCCATCAATGGTCTGCTGTATGAAGATGGTAATACTGAAATATCACTGAAGTAACAAAGGAAGACATTCAAGATTACCTGTATTTAATTATTAAATGTAGTTTAGTACTAGTGACTGTTACATAACGTCAACATACCAAATGTGGAGGCTCATTCGTTCCAAGCGGTTCCTGCAATAATAAATATATACATGCATATAAATAAATAAAATTAATTACAATTAATTTCCTACAAGACATGTCAAGTTCTTGAAATTTGTTAATTATGAACTCAAGAGCAGAGAAAAACACACTTCCCAGGCTCTGGGCACAATTCTCTTCCCTAGCCTCTGCCACCAGCTGCTCGTAAGCTCATGACTACCTGCCTGACTGTTCAGGGGCCTTTCACACAGAGAACTTGCATCAGCATTAATTAGTTTACATAATGTGGATTAGAGTTCATGTAAATGTCTCTGCATTTATTTTTGAGTCTACGTCTTGGAAAAAAGACAGAATTAAAAACAGAAGACTGTGACACCTCTTTCAACACGTGCTCTTCAAAATAAGGTTAAATGTTCCTTTCCTATATTCAGTGCAGTAGTATCATTTATTACTTACTTATTACTGAGGATTGTCTTTGTTTTGCATTAGGGTTTTGACAGTTCTGGCACTAATCTATTTAGGCAAGTTGCACTACCTTGGATTTAATAATGGGCTGAAAATATTTCCTGTCTTTATTCACTGTATGTATTACAAATATTTTAGCATAAAAATAAGAAAAAAAAAAATCAGACTTCTATTATACAACAACAGTAGGGGCCAGATAAATTCTCAAGTATTTTTATATCCATTATCAATTAGGCATGATAAATTACTACGCTTTAAGGCAAATTAATCTTCCCAGGCCAGGTTATTCTTTCCATGAATGCAGTCTGCCAAAGGGAAGTTCTTCTTACGAAGTTTCCCTGACAATTTTCTCAACAGATAGAAAGATCCAGAGCATCCATTTCAGTCCCCATCCTGAACAGACTCATTATGTCATTCAGAAGGGTCTTTAAATTGTTTCCAAATAGACAGACAAATGGATTAAACTGCACAGCCCACATTATTACACTATTGTATGGTCTGAACTCCAAAGGTCTCGTTTCTTTTAAGTTTTCCCCTTAAGTTCTGGTAACTCACCAACTTAACAGGTCGAACTGACATGATGATTTTACTAGATCCTCCCCAGTCAAAGAAACATTTATATTTTCCTTTCTCCAATACATATTGTTCTCCACAGAAATATTTCTGCTGATATGCAACCCACCTGGAGAATGAGACAAAAACTAAACTGAAAACATCATATTTTCCTGTGTAGTTTGATGAAAATACTAACAAGCTAAATAGAACAATTTTCTTTGGAGTTTTCTTGATAAGTCCGTCTGACAGACAGTGTAACATTAAACCCAATGAGAGGCGCATAATTGTCACACACTTTGATTTTCTGCTTTTACTTTGCAAATGCTACTTTGACAAACATACAACTTTGGTCTCTGCCTTTCTATCAAATATACATTCAGCATGACATGATGCCTTGCTTAGAAGCCCAGAGGAAAGACACTTAATTGACAAGTTTTTGAATCTCTCTCAGCTGAATCTTTACCTGTTCAACATCCCCCAGCGAGGGCTTTCTTCCAACTTCTCCAGTTGGATTTAAGAAAAATGATGCAAGAGAAAAGAGAAGTAAAGGAGGAAGCCTTGATAAGATGAGATAAGGCAAAAGCTTGCAGTGGCTGGCTGTTCAAGCTTCTCCCATCCTGCTTTCCCTGTTGTGATCTAAGAAGAAAGAAACCCCCAACTACATGAGACCGAGCTCATCCCTTCTGTACAGGCTCCGCCTGTCTGAAAAGGTATCCTAGTTCTTAACACACCTAAAATCCCTCTTCTGTATTACTGCCAAAGCTCCTTTTATCATGAAACTACAGCCTGTGTGACCTCTGGAGGGACATCACAAGCTTTCTCTAGTAACAAGAATGCCCAGATCCAATCAAGGTGTAGGCATGGGATTTAGTGAAAACTAAGATTTTTTTTTTTTCCTTCCATTTACCAAGGAAACTGAAAGAAACATTGTTCTCCCTTAAATGTTTACCACCTGTACCATGTGAAATATATTCTGTCAAAAGATGTACCCAAACCCAGCTGTGCACAAAAATACTTAATACTTCCATCCATATATTTCAGTAGACTTACACTCCACTTCTCACAAGAATCGACTTTGTCTCTGGGCCAAATCCAGCCTGCTCCAAATCAGGGATTTCTTCATTGACGATGTCGAATGCTTTCCCATCTTCATCATCAGACTGAAAAAGTGCCACTGACGACTCTATGAAATCCTAAAAGGCAGCACAGGAGTTAGAAGACAGGCTGTCACAGCTCAGTGACACTTTACAACATAAAACATTTTGGAAAAGAGTTGTAGCCTGAAAGATAGCGTTTTATAAAGCAGTGAAGGGATTTAGGTCCCTTGTGTGGATCTTTACGGGATAGTTTGGCATTGAAGTGCCTAGCTGGAAGCCTGGCAATCTGACATGGCCTTCAGTGGTTTCCACTGAAGAGAGGAAGAACCTGCTGCCCCTGAGCACCATCCTTTCCTCTATGAGGATGACAGAGTGCAAAGATGCCTGTGTGGGAAAAAGAAGGGTTGGGGATTTAGCACTTGTCTTCCAACAGCTTCACAAATTACTACTCCAAGCATTACCATGACTATAGTCTTTTACTTCAAGTTCTCCTTCCTCATGCCTTCCCAGCGACAAGGCAATAATCACACAGAGGAAAAGACTGGGCAAGACCACCTTTCCAGCACAAGGGATTCGTAGTTTTTGCATACATCCATTATATGACTAACCACTATAGCTATAAAATAAATCCTGCATAACACTGTCATGTTCTCTCTCATACAGCCGTGTGACATTGCTTTATGCTTTCAGCTAGCATAGCTGCTTGACCAGATTATTTGCATATCTTCAGATTATTTGAATTTGTATTTCAAATCTCCAACTTTTTAACCACTTAGCAATTTTAAGCACGCTGTTCAGTCACTGCTTGGAAAAATGGAAAACAACAATCCATTCACTTTATTCCTTTAACTTTTAACAAAAAGCATGAACTCAATTCAATTTCAGTGTTTCTGAAACATTCAGCAATGTTATAGTAAGTTGAAAATAAGTAAGTCTTGCAAACAAGAGAAAAGACTATCAAGTAAATACAGGAGCCGACACAGATTCACAAACATATGAGGGCACTATCACAGGAATTATTACACTAAATACTTGCTGCTGTAGCATTTACAAGCTACCAACCAGAGCTGAAGGCTACACTGAGAAAACAAAGACTTACAACAATCAAAAAATGCTTAGAAATTAAGGCCAGGCCAAGCACACAGCCAGATTCATTTGGTCAGGTGAACCTGATCAAACAGGCTCTTTAGAGGACACCATGCCTTTGTACAGGATTCAATCAACAATGAATAATGAAAACCAAGTTTAGAATGAACACTTGACGTGGCTCAACCTCTCTGCATTGTTTACAGGGCACTGAAAAGTGACAGAACAAATTCTGTAGTAAAACTGGTTTTCCTACTGTGTTGACCATCTCCTTCTTTCATTTATTTAAAAAGTTGTAACTACTTCAGGTATACACTAGAAATTAAAGTGCCAGGTCTGGCAAAATCATCATGAACAACTGCAGTTTCAGGCTACTTTTTAGGGAAAAAAAAAAAATACTAGTGCAGTTTTAGTGCAAATGAAAACCAGCTACTCTTAACGGTCCTAAAGCAAGGACTTTGCAAGAGTTCCTGAAAAGCCATTTAGATCAAATCTGTGCATAATTTCTTTGACTGAATTTAAAATACTGAAATATATCCATAACTGTAATTACATTTAAAACATGTTTCAAATTCAGCCATCATTTTTTTCCTCCCTAAATTTTCACTACAGCTTCTCTTACAATAAGCAATAGGAGAAATACTTAAAAACAGACTTTCAGACCAAGGCAAATGATTTTAGACTTGAAAACATTAGTGGGAAAGCTCCAAAGGCAACATACTCTGCTCCACTGAAAGAGACTCAGAAACTTTGCTTTCCCTGATCACAACAGCCATGGACAATCCCCCATCTTCACAGATTCTCTCATTTGACACTGCAGAATAGAAGCAAATGCAACTGTCCCTCAAACCAGCACACAGTACAAACTGTGGTCTGCCCTCAGGAACAAGCCCTGTATTTGACTCCAGCATGTCCAATATAGATGCTGATAACAGAGCTGGCAGTAAGCTGGAAAAAAACAATTCTACAAGTCCTTTCTGTCTCTGCTTTCAAAACACTCCCCAAATCCCCACATTAGAGCTTGCGACTGTTCACAGCAGAAATATTTAAGACAGACAAAAACTTGCAGTATGTCTACATGAGTGTACACCTTCACCAGTGGGTGGGGAGGGGTGACTTGCAACAATCCCTCTTTTGTGTGTGATGTCTAACCTTTATTTGTCAGGAAATTAAATTCATGTCTCAGCTCAACCGCAGTCACTGGTACGTGTACAGAAACATGGGTTGGATCTTCCTAGCGCTAATAAGCTCTGGTGGAACCTGTCATGTTGAGCATCGTGGCGCAGGAACATCTGAATAGCTTTGCATAGCACTAAGCCACATTGACAGAGCCGGTACTGACACAGGCTAATGAGGCACGCCGTACCCAGCCTGGCTCTCTGCAGAGCCATTTACGTGCTTCTGTACCACGCTCCCTGCTTTGGGAGCACGGCACAAAGACATTAGATCTGACTCTGCCTGGATCTGACTCAGGTACACAGGGCTCATTAGCTGAAGCTTCATGCCATGTGAGCCAGGCTAAACTGTTTCCAGGTCTGGGCTGGCCTTAAAGCCAACACAGTCACGGTCACCTGGTGTCACACCTGAGGGGAAAAAAAAAAAAAAAAAAAGTCTAACTGGCTTGGCCCCTACATGAGACCACACCAGTGAGTATGTATAAAGAGCAGGGCCAATGCCCGGCCCCACTCCCTACCTAAGCTGACCATGAATAATGCAGCTCAGCTACATTTCACAAAATCCTTAATCTTCTACAGAGACTCTTGAATTCATCTGACTAAAGCAGAATTTCTAGGGAAGAGCAATAAAGATCCGATATCCAGGGACACTCCCGCACAGTCTGAGACCATCACAACTCTTTACTGTACTGCACTTATCCTGACAGAATTTCTGAGATTATGGAAAAGAGCTAGTACGTTCGCTGGGCAGTGATGGATTTTTGCCCAGGTCCCCTTAAAAACAAGGGTTTGGTACTAAAATGTTTTTAAAATCCTGACCTTAAGTATCGTATACAAAGTCACGAAGGGAGGATATGGCAAGCCTGAATGCTGACTTATGTATTGCACATCAGAGAGAGGCGGTCAATCTGTTGGTCAAGCCGAACAACAAAATGCCAGTGCCATTAGTCATTTTATTGGCAGCTAGCTCATTGCCTTTAGTTATGCTACAATTTGAGGAAAAGTATTACTTACTTTTATTATCAATAGATACATATTGATATATATTTATATGCCACTTTGAATGATATATGTTGATATATGAATGTTAATGACTTGAGCATCCTGACTGTTCTAGGCGTGAGTCAAATTACATACATGCATACACGTGGAAGGTCATCCCTGCTAGGCATGTGCACAATTTTAAGCTTGTAATTATGTCTTTGCCAAGAGGAAGATTTAAAAAGATCAATTTAAGTTATTCAAGTATCCTATGTATAGCTTGAGAAGAAAAACTAAGATTGGTCAGTAATTGAATAGGATTCTGCACATTCAAAATGAGGAGTTTGAAGAAAATTCCTGCCTGTTTTTCTCAGAAACTTGAAAATAAATTATTTAGAGGAGGACATTTTTCTTCAATTCAGTTTATTCTCCTATCTTTATTTTAAGGTATATGATAGATTCTGATTATAAAGATAGCTTTCCCTAGGTGTCTTTCATAAAAATCAAAACTGCAAATTGTGAATTTAAGCATGGCCTTTTTGGGTTCACATTAACTTTTTTTAAAACAAACAAACAAACCAACCCAAACAAAAAACCAATGACTGTTGAGACAATGAGTTTGCTCTAAATGGCTATCTTCAAACTTCACAAAATTCCTGGCTCGTGAATATCATGTCTCCTCAGATGAGATGAGTAATCTGAGTATGCAAGACTGAGAAATCTCAGAGTGAACAATCTAATTCTCAGAAGGAGCCACTCTTTGCAGCTGTATTTAAAGCTCACAGAGTTCTTATTACAATAAAAAAAATCCTCAAACGCCCAAAGAGATAAAAAAACCCAACCCAAACTAAAGGAAATGATAAAGAAGTTCTAATGCCATGCTTCCCCATCACTGAAAAGTCTAAATTTGCTTCCTATACTGGACTCTAACATAGTTTTTATTATTATTTCAATCTTTGCCCCCACTAAACACATTTTAGTAGCAGGGATTTTTTCACCATGATTATTTTTGCTGCCAAAATTTACTGGCACAAAAATCACAGAGACAGAGGGTAATGCTGTTTTAAGGCTTGCAACAGCTGCTGTGTTGAAAAGCTATTTTTATTTTAATAAAGAACTACACTGTACACTTATGCATGTAAAACTTTTAAGAAAATTCTGTTCTAGAGATTCAAATAGCTTGAAGTGCAGAAGTGACATACTTGGAAAATCTGGCAGGTAGACAAGGAATTCTGCAGGATACGTTCTTTGTATGAACTTTACAAAGGCTATTTAGAACCTGCTTCCGCTTTACAATGTATACAGTGCAGTCTGAATTTCAGCAAGTAGGAAAAGAATGTGAGTGAACTTGGGCAAAAGATGACTAAACCCAAGACAGCTGTACCACATACAAGAATAACCTTCCTCTTCACGTATAGAGCTGTGCATAATTTGTGTGAAATCCATAAAAGTACTTACAGCCTGAAGGAACCGGAAAGACAGGAGACTGTCAGTTCCCCCCCATGAGTGTCTGTCTTCATAATCTCCCTCCTCCAGCAAGTACTGACGGCCTTTGTAGCGCTCCTTATCATAGGCAACCCATCTACAGCAACCACACAACAAAAGAGAAAGAAATAACTAAGAGCAAAACAACCACACACATGGTTTTCCATAACAAATAAAAGGGGAAGAGAACATCCTAAGAACACTAAAATGAGTATCACAGACTCAGCTAACAAACAAAGCAATGCTTGTTTGAAATCACAACAGGCACCCATGAAGTGTTCTTTGTGGATCAAAATCCCATCATGTGATTCTTTCTCCAACAGCAGTTTATTTGTGTGATGCTTCTCCGTGTACCTCCTCTCAGTCAGCCATATTCCCAATACCAATATTCGGTAGTACAGAGGTGAGTATGTATCTAGTGGCCAAAATACTGTAAGCCACCAACTGTCAATGATAAAAACCAAGCAACAGATCTCTTCGGTGTATTAATAAACAATGAGATTCTACCCTTGCTGGAGCTGGTAACAAAATTAATGGATTTCAGCAGAACAAAATTTCACCCGCTTATATTGTTTCCTGCTCTAACCTAAAACCATATATATATGAATAGACAAGTGAACAGAATATATACAATATATTGCATATGGAATATGTTTTAGCACTAAGGGAATAAAACTTTTTGAAGTATTTTGAACAAATAGATAAGGCTTGATTAAAAGAAGGCATTTCCACATCAACAATGGAAAAGTGCTTCCCCCTCCTTCTTTCTTGTAAGCATTTCTTTCATTAAAGCTCCCTTGTAAGTATTAGAACTGCTGTACAAATTCTGTCAGCATTGAAATTTGGCAGGCAGGGATAGCTTTACTTTTAGTACCATTTGGTTTACATTAATTCAGCTGTTTAAGTTACCACAGTATTAAAAATAAAACCTGCCACAACAGACAGAAGAATGATTTTTAATAATTTGAGGCTTCCCAGATAGCAAATACATAACATATTTATGAATAGATTATTTGAGTATTTATAATTAAGTTTATTTTGAATTTAGTGTTTGTAAGATTCTGGCAACAGCCTGGAAGGATGTATGTTATTGAATCTATACTGAAGTATTAGCATTGAAATCCCTTAAGAAACAAAAAAAAGTTTCTGAAAACTATTTTATCACTAAGCTTTTTGGCAGAAGCAACCATCCTGCATGCTTTCAAACAGTTTTGGGTCTTGGGAGAGGCTGAAACAACAACGCGTGGAGTTGGTAGCTCTCTAGAATAGCTGAGCCTGCCTCGTGAGCAGTCCACCTAAGGACTGTGTTACTCAGCCCTTTTTGTGCGTGTGTGTGCCTATGAGAGAGAGGGGCAGGGCAACACAGAATCAATCTGAGGCCTCAGTGAAGGAAAATAAGGGTAGATTCTTAATTCCAGACAACATGCAAGAGGTGGCAAAGGAAAACCATTAAGACACTAGAACAGTTTAGAGATTTCAGAGGCATTAAAATGTCAAATTGAAGACTGACCACACCTACCCAAGGTCATTACAGTAAATTAAGTAGAGACTATCAGAAGTATAAAGCAATATAAATTAAAGCTCTGTCTGAATGATGTCATTAAGCAACAAAGTGCCCTAGTTTATCGGCATTCAAATGGTAAACGCTGACTTCACACGTCTCACACACTTGGTTTTATCTTTCTATATTCCCCTAATAAGCCATATGGAGAGGTTGTTTTATCAAAGGCTGATAATTGACATAAGAAATATATATTCCTTTCTTTTCAAAATATTTTACCAGTGAGAGATTCTAAGCACCCCTTAGCTAGCATGTCTTAGCATTTAGTTATGATTTCCTATTTTAAAGTAAATAAATATAAAAGTGAAATATACTTACACTCCACCAATTACACGTACTGATCCAATTTCCTGAAACTCCTCTTCACAACCAAACAGAGCTGGGACAGAACTTACGTTTTCTGAAAACTCTTTGGACCATCCTCCAAAGTGAGTTTTCTCATATATTATTATCTAGAAAACATGATGTTGAACAATGCCTTGAATATGCCCTCAATAGTAATTTGAAGTTTGGGTGCGTGTACTGCTACAGGATGGGGAAGACACCTTTTTTCCCCCTCCAACAAGCCATCACTATGAAGAAAATTCAGGGTTGCATTCCTCAGCCCTTCTGATTGTTGAGCGCCCTAGAAGCTGAAGAGACCCTGTTTGGATTTAGATAGGCTTGTCAGGCTACGTGCAGACATTTCCACAGAAGGATACTTATTCACACAATTCTATATACATAAATGCACTCTGCAGCTATATGACTGTGATTTATCCTGTAATCCTGTGCCTGGGCAGCGTATATTAGCCTGCACTGAATCCTACCTGGTCACAGCTAGACACACTGAGCTTAATCCTTCAAAAGCAGACCAGAGGTCTTTCTTTGTACCTTGAAGTTATTTCAGTGTCTGCGGTTAACACCCTCTTGAGGTTCCTCATCTGCCCAATCACACAGATCAGCTATTAGTAGTATTAATATTTATTGCAATATTTATTAGAAAAACGTCCGAGTCTTGCATGTATTTGTATAATTAAAAGTTACCTAAAGCATCAGCATTTTTGTGGAGAACTAGAAAAAGGAGGGAAAATGAGCAATAACTCTGGATTAGCTTTCTGCTTCTCAAATCACGGAAGGGTCATGGTCTCACTCACAACTCTTGTATTGGGATCGTGTATAAGAAGCAAGGGTCCTATTCCTGCTCCTCTCCTTCCCCCTCCTTTTTTTTAAACTTGGTACGGTAAATGGGAAAATCTCTCCTGATCCCTTTCCATTACATTGACGGATGTGTCAGTCAGGAAAGCTCATTTTATTTTGTTTTACAATTCTTCTATAGAAAACTCACATTCTCCTAATAGCTAAAAAACAAACTACTACTACTTTTACATCTCATGGAACACTAGTAAGAAAGTGGGCTCGACAGCATTAGTGAATTTTTCTCCAGCAGCAAACACTGAATACTTAACCAAACATCCCATACCCAACAAAAAGAAAACAGCTTAAATAGAGGTTTTATATGTCCGGTGTGCTCATATTTTATTCTCAATGTCCTCAGTGCTTACCTTGACATTCATTGGCATTTCTACCTTTAGTCCACCCTAAAAAAAAAAAAAGATGGGGGGGAAAGGTATTTATATAAAAATTAAAGTTATGCTTTGGCACATATTTTATAGTACCATCAGACCATGAAGTCTTTGCAATTATATTCACCATTTTCAGTGTTGGCCAAATCAAACACTAGTTTAAATAGTCTGATAATTTATAAAGGCCAGGGACACCATAAATCTGACCTACAAACAAGGTCAGGCTTGCGTTGACAAGCCTGTAGGCATGCAAGCAATTTAAAAATATTCCTTCATTGTCTATTAGCAATCTAAAGCAAATATTTACCATGTGTTTTTAAACTCATTTATATTGACCAATTTTTAAAATTAACTTTTAAAGCTTTGTTGTATAGATTTCAAGTTTCTTAAGCACAAATGGTGAAACACTAAGAAACTATAAACACCAGAAGAGAGGGAAAATATAGGCTGACATATTCATGTCTATGGTCAAAGAGCAAATAAAACAAATGCATTTTCTCTGGAAATGTTAGTGAATCATGTTCTGTGCGGGAATAAGACACCTACCTCCCATGAGTGACTAAAAAGACAGCTGTCAGGTCTTATTCCTTTGTGGCTTTTAGACTCTCTCTCTGTAGGGTTGTTATGTGTACAGTAGAATTAGGTGTTATACCCTTCCACATCTCTCTCATATTTAGATCTGCATGCTGTCTATCAAAACAAAAATTAGCTGCACCTCCCAATATTTTTGTGCAATGCATGGTCACAGGAATACTACTGGGTAATAAACTCCTCACCTGGTCTTCCACCCCCAATAGACTCTAGCTGTACCATTAAGAAAAGAAAGTAAACAACTTCTGAAGAGCTTTTTTAGTTAATGAATTGGTGTTGGCTGCAATACAATTAAGAGCCTTTCAGTTCTGTCTTATTTGATCTCCGCTCAACAACAGCAGTTTCTCAGGAAGATGTCCTAGTGAATCAGACGCTCCCTCTGACTATGTGGTCTTACTTGGGCAGACGCAGAAGCCCAGCAAGCCGCGGCGACCGCTGTGCCATTACAACACTACAAATGCACTGTGGCATGAGATGAGTGTTACATGTATAAGGATTAACCCTGAAAGGATGTTAGAACCTAAGTTATATTTAGATCAAAACCTTTGGGGGAGCAACAACAGGAAAAGGAAGGCACACAACTTATTAGGGAATTCTGAAGTCCTCACCATTTTTAAGGGACGCAGAGATTTTACATCTGCTGAAGGAATTTCAGATGGTAAATTGCATTCTTCCAAAACCTTCATCTCTCCCTTGTAATTAAAGTCTGAATAAGCAAGCCATCTATAACAATAAGGATAAAGGACTTATTAATCTCATTAGATAGATCACAAATACAAAGATCTTATTATTTTCCTTTTTGTACTCATAGGAGCTAGATAACATGTTTTAAATACTGCCATCACATCAAAACAAAGCTATATTTAAATACACTTGCAACATCAACGCTAAGATGATCTCAGATACTTTTTCTCAGTCCAAGCTAAACATAAATGAAAGCAGAAAATGACCAATTTGTTCACTCACTTTAAGAGGCCAGTTTGTTACATTGTGAGTATACAAAACCAATGTCAGTACTGAGGATGAGACACTTGCATCAAATTTTACCTAGGATTGACACCTTAGGAATTAAAAGGCTTCTAACATTAATCCCACTTCATTTTTTCAGTGGAAGTTATTAAAATGCAATGATTTACAATGCTCCTTTGGAAAGCAGGCTACCGTAATTTTGACATGAAGATTAAAAATGCTGAGACTCCTTCAGATTGTTTTATATCAAAAAGAAAGCTGAATGCAGAAGTTGGACACAGGATTAGTAGACCAAGTAAGGAACGGAGGAGAAGGCATTGAGCCACATGGAAGACGATTTTCTTAAAACTACACACACAGACCATAAGCAGTTATACTAAGTTCTATCAAAACTAAGACAGGACTGTTTTTAATTCCTTCACCACCTCAAGCTTCACAGACATATTGCGAGATTGTGGGAAGGAAGGCTTGGCTCACGTGGAAAGGCAAACTCAAGAGTCTTGTAACAGAATAGCTAATGTCACTCTGCAACAATTTATGAGAAGAGGCGCAGAACTCCCAAACTTCAGGAACTGTGAAGTGTTGGCCATTTACCCAGGAAACAGGCTATTCTGCTCAATACAGGGAATGCTGGGCTACCAAGGGGCCCATATCATACTGCATCACCTCTCTCTAGAAAGTCAGGATACGGCTGTAGCTTGAGAAATGTTTGGATGATGTAATATTCATTTTCTGGTATTCAGTCATAGTGTTATAGTTGTAACAGGGTGGGTGATTAGGGAGACAGTATCTATTGTCCAATGAACTAAAAGCTAATTATAGCTAAACTGCTTCTTCTATTTATAAAGCTACTCAAAGATGGAATTATAGAAGACTTCTGCGAGCAACTAGAGGAAAAATGCCTTCAAAAATTTGATTCCACTACTGGGAGCCCACATAGCACAATGCTGAAGTGTAGAGCTGGGATTATCTAGTGTATGTTAACTGATTTGTAGTAAACCCCCGCCCCCCAAATATTGTTCCTATCGCTGACGGACTTTCATCCCACGATGTTACCCCTCTACCTGCTGGCAAAATGCTATTAAAAAGGTTCAGTACTCACACTCCTGATTTGACTCTTATATAAGGGTTTTTCTCAACATCCAGTTCTTCTAAATTGGCAACCGCACCCTGTACGCAGATAGGAAGTCCCTCTGTACCACCAGCTGCCAGGCAGAACTCTACCTCTGGAACACCACAGTCCTGCGGAAACAAATCAAAGGGTGAGGCTGATCCGCGCTTCCAGCGTCTGCCCCATCGCAGCAGGGGAAGGACCGGTAATGCTTCCTTCTTTTTTCCCCTGTCTTCTCACCCTTCTAACCTCACTCCAGGCTTCGTATGATGGAAGGGTTTTAGTTTTTTTTTTAACGAAGACTGGCATTTTTAGAAAAGCTAAGGGAAGTAAATTTCCAGCTCCTGCTAACTTTCAAAGACGAACTATGCATTTATGCACATTGGGCTACTTTTAAAAAGCTCAGTTTAAATACTTGCCAAGTAAAAGATCTGACAGTATTTACTGATAAAAAAAAAAAAGTCAGCATGGTTTGTCTAATTGCAGTGCTTCCATAACACACACATAGATACATATGATGCACGTGTAACTAAAACTTTCTAGAAATGTCTACTACATTCCTGCCTCCCTCCCTCTCTCAGTGATAATTAGGTTCTGTAATGTATCCAACTATGGTTTCAAGCCATATGAATTCAATTTTCTGTCATGCTAAGTAAATTTACAGCATTTTAGACAAAAAAAAAAAAAAAAGAACAGTACTAGAAAATATTTGTTTTGTTAAGTAGACACTTAAGCAATTTTCCTGTTACTACAGAGCAACAACCTCTGTTACCTTACTGAAGGTCTTCTACTGATAGATACCACGCTGGAGAACAACTTGTTGAACACATGATCTTCTCTAGAATTTGCAGGGATTTTATTGAACCACACTCATTTCATAATAGTTATATAAAATGCATTGCCAATACTTTGTTTCCCAGCATTCAAACACATCATCAATCAATGAGGATCTTCTGTAAGGCCCTGCTTCAGCAGTGCATTACAGAACAGCCTTCCCATTACGATGAAATGCAGCTCATGTGCTTACAGAGTTTGCTCAGCTGTAGCTGGAAACTTTCAGTTCTCAGTGATAACTTCACAGCACCCTTCCCCTCCTGACCCACGGGCCCATTTGTGTTAGGCCAAAGGGCTTGGACAGCATAAAGAGATCCTGAAAGTCCTAAAGGTGGCTGGAGGAAGATGCCCCTTGCATGTGCACTGGAGAAGAAGGATGAGAAGCTGTCCTTGAGGGTGCCCTCAGGGAAGCACCTGGTTACTGCATTTGTTGAGGACCCAGGCAGGGTCACATCATGACAGAGATCCCACACCAGCTGTGGCTTCTGCCAAACTCGAAAGGCAAAACACAAGACCTTACAGAGAAACCCAGCAACAGAGCACAAAAGCTTTTAAAATTACAGCACCTCATCTCATGACAACACCTGCACGCTCTCCTTTTTCACACAGGTTTTGAGTGGAGCTTTCAAATGATGGAGTAACATCCCACCTAGAAACATGCCTTTTCTTGGTTAGCAAAGTTCTTTCAGTAGTTATTTAACTGTCAGCAACAAATGTGGCAATTATAATAGATTTTCTAGTACAATGCCACTTCATGGCAAAATGCTAAGGAACACCATTCCTCAATTCTAAGTGTATTGCTAGACAAGTTTAAAAAAAGTGTCCTCATAGTTTTCATATGTATATGAATCTTATTAAATCACAGTTAAGAAATATTTGAAGTTCGTTTCCCCTTTTTTTTTAAACATACAAAAAAAAGTTGAAGCGCGCTCCCCCCCCCCCCCCCCCTAATAATACTTGATACATGATATGGCTGAAATCTGTGAATCCAACAATAAAGCTTGATATGTAAAATCAGAAGTTGCACTTATGAGAATTCCAAAAATAACAATGCTAGACTCTTAATGGTTTCAGATAAATTCTGAAGCAAAGTACCTACAAGACCAGACAAGTGGCAAAATAAAGTATCTTCGCCTGTGGGCTCAGACAGAATATGAGACAGAGTACGTTTAATTTTAATTCAGTAGGAGGTTGTTTGTTTTTTTTTTGTTTTTGTTTTGTTTTTTTTTCATTTGAAGATTGGAAAAAGCCAGTCTGCTGTATTCTCTTTTCAAGTTTGCTTTCCTGACTCTGAAGCTCACGAGGCAGGCTCCACCTCAAGAGATGAAGAATGTAGCAGTTCTCCAAAGGGCAGGTAAAGCACAAGTATTCATAATAAAATCTCTCCTATTTATCAGCATCTCTCTCCAGCCAGATTTTGACAGTCATAAAAAAAACCTCTACTCATTGCAATGGCATTTTTGTGTGTACTAGATTAAGTCCACAAAATCCTTCCATAAAGTGTCACATAGTAAACAGAGGTCTTCATCAAAAGCAATTCAACTATCTATTTTTAAAGGTAATACGTTCGAGCAAGAAGTACATTATATTTTCTAAGCACATTTTTTTAAAATCACAAATATACATTTTGACTTAAATATTGAGTTCAATTTACATATATTAATTTATGGACTGCAGAAAATGGTAAAATTTAGTATTGCTGTATGAGATGAACACTATGGATTTGCAGATGTACACTCAAGTACTATGCCATTAATTTATATAATTTAAGCATGTAAACTTTAGCTTGGTAAATATTTGCCCTAGCATGTTCATATTTGCCTGAGCATATTTAATAGGCATCATTACTTTCAGAGGCTTCTTAAACACTCCCAGTGAAGCCACCATCTTTAGAAAATGAAAACCACACAAATATGATAGCATTCAGGTTGAGAACTAGATCCTTCAGTCCAAAGCCCTTTCATTTACCAGGCGTCAAGATTTTCAAATAAGATACCCACATGCAAAACTACTACCACAGTGTTTCAGGCCAGATCCCAAACTGGAAAGTTTCCTCCCTATATGCCCCCGGCCCTGCCACTCCCATCACAAGCAGCCAAAACTCATGCCATATTCATTATCCTACTGACACGTCAGGCAAAAACAGAATAAAAAGCACAGCAAACAGATTAGGTAGTTGTGTTAATTTCCAATGATAATACACAACCAGCAAATGCTTAGGTAGGTCACAGCCTCCAGGCATCCCACTCTGTCTTCCTTTACTCTGTGGTACTCTCCTCCTACCTCTACACAGTCATCCTGGAGCGCTTGTGCTTCCCTCATAGTCTTTTGGGAGCAGAGATGTTTACAAAAGCACGGGGAACACTTGCACTAGCTTGCAGCGAACAGACACTTCCCAAAACAGCAACACACCCCTCAGCAGAAAGGTTAAGGCTTCTTCTGAAGAGGGTTAAGACGACCCTCAAGACCTTAGCATTAAATATTACTCTTCAGTGGCATCTCTGACATTTTTCTAGTCCGACCAAGAGCTCCACCATAAGTGAGAGACCCAGAGCCTTCAACACCCTCAAGGTGGTCTTGGCTGTTTACCCTTCTTCCGGATCTAGGGTTACAGCCCTAACAGCACCAGCAGGGGTAGACAATTTCAGCACTGCTAGGTCTTCTCCTTGGAGTTGTAAGCTGTGGCGACTGAAGCGATCAAAATAGCCTATTTAAATGGGGTAGCCTTTTATGTCAACAACAGGACAAAGAATGACTAAAGTCTGGCTTAAACTAAATGCCAAAGCAATGATGAGAAAAGAGTCTATTGAAAATCAGGCCTAATTAGTTCTGGTGTTCACACGATTGCTTTTTAATACAGTCTAGACACGCATCTTAACTTTTGATATACGGTTTGTCCTTAGCACATCCGTTTCTGCAGCATTTTTTTTTATTTTAAATCTTACTCTCTGTTGGTCCTCCAGCCTTTTTTACCCATTCATAATTCTTTCTCCCAGTTATTCTGCTCTGTACCACTCTTGCTATCACCCATCACCACCAAACCAAACTACAGGACTCAACAGGGCTTGTAGTAAAATAAAATAATAGCTAAGAAATTAATGATTACTCTCCTGTAAATACCAACTAGCAAATGAGACAATCTGAAGCTGCTGGGTGTCTTCCTATGGCATCTGACAAAGTAGTCCCTGCTTGAATTAATAACTTCTTTTCACCTAGCAAACCACACAAACAAAAGAAACACAACCTTCGTGTAATACTGTGAACATTCTCATTACAAAGAGCTTTGATTAAGGAGAGTCCACAAGGAATCTAGGTATTCCCTGCCTAATCATTTTGCAGATGGAGATTATAAAATGCTGTTTCAGATCTCCTGTCACCTTGCAAACTAGTGGTTTACAAGATTACACCAAAATGGAAACATCAGCAACTCTTCTCAGCTCTTGTTTTTTGAGAAAGTAACATTTAGCACTCTCTTTGGGCTTCCAGAAATAGATAGAAAAAGCCCTCCAATTCCTTAAGATCAATATATGCATTTGCATTAGACCAGAGAACTGACCTGGCTAAACAGATTGTGCTGCAGGACCTGCATTGAACCTGCGTTTTCAAGCAGATTTTGCTAGCTTAGGCTCATGTTGACTTGCCTTAGTAGAATTCAGACTCCTCATTATTTCAAATAGGTTTTCGTTTTACTAGTTGCATGATCTGTTCCTTTGGGATCTTCCCCCCGCCCCCCAAATTCCTTCAAATTAAACACACATGCATACATATAATGCATATCTACAGTAAGTCAAGCCACAAGCTAACCGCAACACTAACACAACCTCTGCTTTTTGTGGATGCTTGAAGCCAAATCAGAGCACAAAGCTACTGGCAGACTGTTTCTCAGCAAACTAACATCTGCCAGTAAGAAATAAAAATAATATTAAATGTACCTCCTACAGTTTCTTTAGTAAACATCTGTTTTTCTCTTCTGGCAAGACATTTTCTTCTCAAATATTTAGGCAATTTTCAAATGTGCTAACTGAAGGCATTTGAGCAGCCATTAAACAAGCACCATAAAAAGCCACTTGAAGAATTAGAAGACAAGGCAGACAGCCTGGACACACAGCCAGTATGACCAAACTAGGCAGGAGAAAAGCCACTGAGCTACCCAGCCTGTGAAAAAGAGAATGACAGTAAAACATGTGATCCTGCAGATCACACACGCACGAGCTGCCTGAAAAAGAAACAGTCAAAGATAATGCCTATATTTTCACAAAAAATAAACAAATAAGGTAGCACTTTGGCAAACTACCTTCTAAAAGTAGTTCCACAGCAGCTGAAGTATGACCTAAAAAAGAGGGATGCTTTCATGAATCGAGGTTTAGAGGACAAAACCCAGCTTAGTGAGTTCCACGCTAGCTCCATACAGCCCTATGGACTAACAGCAAAAGTCCTCCCACCCAACCATACCTGCTAGCGGTCTAAGTCACATGAGAAACAGGGTTGATTACTGAACTCGTGTACTGCAACAAAGCTTTCCATCTGCGTTCCATACAAATGAACCACATGCTGGAAGAACAACAACATGCACACCTACTTAGCTGTATTACAAAGATTTTTATCAAGCATGATGAAGCTAACCAGAGTGTCTTTCCTATCCAAGGCTTTTCTTTGATACCCAAGGCACACCCAGCTTCCCTCAGCTTCAGGCCATAGTTCCACATGTTATTGTGGTATTTCTGTAATTATTTAGCTGCCTTCCATATTATTGATCAATATTCATATTCCATATTGGTCAAATGCTTTTAATTTGTTTAGCTCAAATAAATGTTAACTTCATTATCCATGCCCTCAGCCAGCCTCTTTTGAATTTATTTATTAAATCTTAAATCTTTAAGAGAATGAAAAGGTATTTCTAATTGTTAAGACATTATGCCCCTGTCCTGATGACAAAAAGGTTATCAATTTTAAAATTGCCTTTATACCAGCAGAGAACAGAGAATCACCGCTTTTTCAGAAAAACTTTCACATTGCGATACAAATGATAACTCACTTGCAGTAAAGGGCCATTGCCCTGTGAATAACTGGAATGTTATGCTGAACAACAAGGGCACTAAGTCTTCTTAAATCACAAGATCTGGTAAATATATTCCTCATTCACTGAATAACAATGGATGCATTATATTTAGTTTTAGGCATTTGATTCCTATCTTTTCAACAAAACGCCTTTTAAACTTCTGGCTGTATGCAGAGCCAGATGCTGTAGGTGTACCACTTGTCCACGTGGAACCCCTACAGACAGCACAAAGCTGTAGAAGGAGCAACAGTAATTTTTGGAGACTATGCTGTACAAATGCAACTGGAAACCCAACTACTAACTTCTGAAAAAGAAGCCACACAAACACAGTAGGTAGTTTAAGCTTAAGATAAACACCTCTTTGAAAAATATGAATTGATTCCATTTAATTTCAATTAACTGGACAGGCACACATCTAAAAGGAAGGGAGTCACTGTGTCAGATAAAGGTGGTGGCAGAGAAAGATAATCCATCTGCTCATTACCTTCAGGAAGAAAGAGAAATTTAGCTCAGCAAAAGCCCTGGAATTTATCTTGAAGGTGAAAAACGTGATTCATAGCAAATTTGAATAAAATCAGAAACACAGCATACACACATAGTCCATTGCTAGTAATACACCACTATTGCCAACAGAAATTAATTATTTATGCGAGTATATTATTAGCAAAGTCTATACCTTTGTTACATGTTTGATTGAACCAACTGTGAGGTTTCTTCGACGATGTTTCACACCCGGAAGATCCCAAAGGTGATCCAGCACAGTCTCTCCTTCCTCTAGTACATATTTCCGACCCTGGAACTTTGGTTTCTCATAAAAAATCCAACTGTAATAACGATGATATGAACTGAGTTGTTGCTGTTAGGTAAGACTGTCCTTATACAGTACATTTACTGGAAAGCTCTGTAATGAGCTCTTCTTAACAAGCCAACTATCAGACTTTTCTTATGCTGTCCCTCAGTAGTCACATTCACTTTAGATAAATATGGGGCTTGTACTTCTGTGCTTTAAAAGTAAAATACATAGTGCTCCTTCAGGACATAGCCTAGCATAACTTAAAATATTAACTGTATAAAAATACAGCTAAAACACAATGTAAATAAAAAGCCCTATTTTACCAGAACAAGTATGTTAATTGACACATCAAAACACGTTCTGTTCAGGCAGATACTATGCAAGGCATAAAACATACTAATAATGGCATTCCATATTTCTTAGGACATGAAAAAAATGTATGCAAAACCAAACAAGGCTGCCTCAAAACTGCATAAATGTGACATGCATTGTTACTATGGCTGACAGTCAGAAACATTCATGATAAATGCCACCAATAAAATTCCAATGCAACAACTGGCATGGTCCCAGCCCCAGCTTCCCAAAGCAAACCGAGAAACACTTGCGAAATCTGCCTTAAAGGTACTTGTATATCCTTCTGCATCCACATTCCTCTAAACACTACATTACAAACAGCAGCTGAGATTGTTCATTTTATGGTCCTTTTGCAATAGATACTGTATAATGAAACTGAACTATCAAAAAAACCCCAAAACATTTTCTTTGGCACACATATGCTTCCAGTGCTGATTATGGCTGTACTGCCTCAGCACTTCAGGCAGGAAATCTTATCTTACTTGTGGTTCTATTAGTAACTTTCTGTTTGAAGCTAGTTCCCAGGAGAAACAATATATATTTTTTGTACTGCAACATTTGAAGCCTTGTTTCATGCATTTTTCATTGTATCAGTATAATTATAAAGAAAGAAAAAGACACTCTGGCAGATCAGATGTGTCATAAATAAAAGAAATGAAAATATAAGAGAAACACGCATGCAGTCTTTTGGAAAGACTTTATTTAAATATGACCTTGATTTCTTACCATCCTCTAATTATCCTAAGCGATGCTCCAATGGGAAAGATCCAGGACGTGGTATCCAACACATCAGAATGAACTTCTTGTTTACTTTTGTCACCATAAATATCATAAATAATAATCTGAAACAACATACAATGCATACGAATAAAGGCCCATTTCAACATACAGTGCAGACAGTTATTTTTCGCTTGGAATAAAACCTATTTCATTTTGTGCTCACTCAACTGACATGCTACGCATTTTCTTCTTTTATGAAACACTCTACTGAACTAAAACAACAGTTGCTGACAGAAATACAGTAAAGTTACTAGTGGTAGGATTTTTAATAATATAATCTCATTATTAGCACGTGCAAGCATATGCACCATTAAAATACGGAAAAACTAGACTAAACTTCAGAGGCTTTCTATTAAAAAATTTTGGTATAACAAATTATTCCATCTATCATGTTGATCTGTGTGACACAAACTCTGCTTACCTTTCCTGGTCTTGGATTGTATTTGAGACTTGCCCTGTCAATGAGGTTCTGAAATTAAAAGGACATGGAAAACAACTATTAACATCTACAACAGTAGCACAAAGCATAGACAGATTATTCTGGGTCCACTATTCCTATAAATTTATGCAACTGTCACTAGCAGAAACAACCAAGATTTGTTTCACTGTGGTTCAGAGTTGGTGTAAACAGATTAACAGAATCAATCAGCAGAAAGCAGCAAGTGCTAGAAAGGAAGAACTATTATGGAAGTTATAACTTCTGAAAATGTATGACCCTTTCCCAGCAAACAATAAACTGCATGTCTTAACAGTGGCAAAACCAAAACAGACCTCTAACACAGACTGAAATATTCCCAGCATCATGGAAAGACTTTATTCTTCAGTTATACATTTGGTCTATGCAGCCTTTTCAGTTTCTAAATATTGGAAGCACTGTTTCCATATCCTCATCTGCCATTGCTTTAAATAAACTAAAAAAAGAAATGCTCATTTATGGAAGCAGCTACCTTACTTGCTAACTGACCTACAATTTGTAGAAGACTCTGATGAAACAATCAAATAGCCCAGTAAGCAGATATTTATATTTTTTTGGACAACACAGCTCTACTAATCTCAGAAGTGGAAGAAACGAAAGAAAAATTTTCATACAAAAGGCAATTCCATCATCTTCAGGTTGAAATGTCCTTAGCATGGACAAGTCTGTGTTTTGCTATTATACAGACTTGCTATTATGCATATTTTCCTATTATATTTTCTTTTCACATCTTCTGTTTTACCATTAAGTCACTTTCATCTGTGTGCTGAACCAAGAATACTATGTTTTTAAAATTATTTTATCAGCAGACTTTTTTTTTAAAAACTATGATCTTAGCCTAATTACTTTCACTTATGATAAAAGAATTAAGAAGGGAGAAAAGAGAATAGGGAGACAGCAATTTTGAATCTGAGCTAATCACTTTGATTATTAATATTATGTGACACGACATCTTACCGCTGACAATTCTCCCAGTTTTGGCATGGAGTTGTCTTGAGACCGATGAATCTTTGGCTGCAACATATCCTGGAGAATGCTTCCAAACCTGGTCACCTTCTCAGAGGAGCAACTGCTGGCAGATTTCAAATACTGGTAGTATACACTTGTAGAAGGATGCTTTAGAGCAACATCAGCTTTCTGCGAAACTGACTTACAAGGTGTTTGACTGGGAGAAGCCGCATCTGGAAACAGTTCTGGTTGTTCCTTAGAGTCAATTTGTTCTTTTGAAAGAAGATGTGATTGTTCAGGAAACAAAGATCTAGTCTGGTCATTTGATCCAAGGGTTGTTTTTAAATTCCTTCTCCACTGACTGGAAAGACATTCTTCTTCTCTCTCACCATCAAGCACATTTTCTTCATATGATGATTCTTCCTCCTCCTCGTCCTCCACTCCCTCCTCCTCGTCCTCTTTAGTGAACTGAGTAGTAAATTGTAAGCGCTCAGAAACTGACTGGAGAAGGGACAGCACAGAAGCGTGGTCAACATTATCTTTAGATATTCCACTAGGACGGTCTTCTGGCGACACGTCTGTGGAAAGTAAGTCTTCTTGGGAGCTGTCATCTTCATATATTGGAGACAAAGAGAAAGGATATACTCTACAGCGCTTGGCCTCCACGCTCAGAAATGACTCTGAGCTACGGCTATCTGTTGCTTCATTCAACTTGTTATCCTTCCCATAAAGACAGGCTGGCTCATGTTTATTCTTCGCTCTTTCACACATGAGATGCTCTGTATTATTCAAAGGCAGAACAGAAGAAGAAAGCAAACCAGTTTGCATATCATCAGTTGAGACAGATTTGTTCTCAGTTTGAAGGGCACCTTCATAAATGATAGCGAAAGAACTGTTTTCCCACTGTTCAATTAGTGGAGAAAAGGCCAAAAGATCCGTTGATTCCTTCATGTCATCGCTACAGTCCAGACCATTTTCTTCAAGCTGATAATTTCTCTTCATGTCTTGGTCCTTCATTTGTAGCTGCTTTGGATTCTCATTATTTTGGGCAAAAACTACACTGAAGCAGTTTTTCCCTTCACTGTCCTCTCCAATAACAGACAATCCAGGTACAGTGAACTGTGTATTTAATCCAGCATTAACCTCTGCTATCTCACTTGCCCCTTCTGCTAGTTCCTCTTCACTCTCCACTGCCTTCGAGTCTTCTAAGGTTGCTTTTACTTGTGCAGCTACTTCTGCAGCCTCTCTTCCGCAGTGTTCATACGGACTGTCCTCTGCACTGCTTTCCAGAGAATCCCGAGGACTGCTTTTGTCTTTAGATTCACTCCGCATGCTGATACATTCTTCATCAGGCATAAAAGATGACAAATTAACATTTACAGTTGGCAGCAATGTGCACTCTGGCATATTTGTATTATTGCACAAATCTTTTAACTGCAGTGACAGAAGCATCTCTTCCATCACAGTAGCATCTCTATGTATTAAATGTAAAGATCCATCAGATTTTCTACTAGTTGCTGATACTCCAGCTTTGCCACACAACTCTGCTGCAGCCGGATCTTCACACACCTTTCTAACGTGTCTCTCTTCGGCTGGTGTCATAAGATCTGATTCTGACCTTGCTGAACTACCAGTGGGTAGAAATCCATTTCTTTGACGCGTAAATGCATTATTTGGTATCTTCTCACCTCTTTGGGGCCAATCTATGCTATTTTCCATACTATTTGGAAGTAGAGGAGGACCTGAACACTCTGCTTTTCCACAGTTTACAGCTACACTCTGAGTTTCCACCTTCTCTGTTGGCTCCTGTGTTTTGGCAGGTAACTTCACATCCGTGTTTAAAATCTTTGGGGTTTCAGCCTTAGGTTTAGGATCAACCTTTTCAGAAGGCCTCTTACTTTCACTGCCTTGCCACTGATTGGATGCCAGTTTTTGTTTGGCTGAGTTAATGACTTCATCAATTATTTCCTTTGCTTTTAGTGCTAGTGCACTATGTAGGTCAATTTTATCAGGGATGCAAGGTAGTATCTTTTCATCTTGATTATTTGTATCCACTGTTTCATTTCCTGTAAGTGAAGATGAGCCTCCTCCACTGCTCTCATTACAATGTTTTAATGACTGCACAGCTGACTGGATTTCTTCTGCTTCCAGCTGTACAGTTCCAGCTTTCTGATCATTTAGAATATCCACATTTATTAAACCATCCTTGCTCCCACAAAGCTGGCAGACACCAATGGCTTGTTTTGCTATTATTTCTTCTATAGCCAAGCGTAAAACTGAGTCCACTATTTCCTCAGCTTTTTTAAGCAAAACGGCAGCATCTTGGAATTTAGCACGTTCTTGTCCCTTCATATTGGTATCTTCCCGTACTTCCTCAGAACGGAGCTCACTTGACTCTGCAGGTGCAGCAGCTGTTTGATCATCTGTCACAGAAGGGGCTTCTGAGATAGCAGAAGCACAGTTACCCAGATTCACCTGTCCCACAGCATTTCTGCCCACACTCTCAGTACAGGCTGACTTGGGTGCCACTTCCAAAGATTTCAAAGGACAGATGGCTGATGGCATTGCCTCTGCCGAGACACCGCCGTCAGCCTGTTGTGCGGAGGAGGCCTCCTCTGCCCCATCACCAGCTCTGTGACTGGAAGAATAACTGTTCCCCTGAGCAATGCCCAATGCTTCCAAGGCAGAAATGGAAAGGTTGGAGGCTTCTCTAGACCCCAGAGTAGGTGAAGAGGGCCTGGGGATGCAAACATCCCCCACATCTACTCCAGCAGCAGAGCAATCAAGCATAGCTGGAGTAAGCTCAGGTTCCAGAGAACCAGCCAGGCACGAAGCTCTCGGGTCTCCTGAGCAAAGTGGCACCTCAGTCATTCTGTCCTCAGGGATTATGCTCCTAAACTCAGCAGCTGGAAAAATAAAGCTGTCCTGTTCGTAAGCAGCAGACCATGTAGCAATCTGGCCATTTTCAGAGCTAGTGGCAGGAGAAGGGATTTTTCCTTGGTTGTCAGATGAAGAATCAAGTACTGTGGGTGATACCCTAGGCTTATTACTGTTTTCCTTCTTGGAAGAAAAATTAATACACCTATCTTCAGAAACAGGAGGAGATTCAGAAAGGATGTCCACATCAACATCTTTTTCACACATGAAAGCAGAATTGTTGGTCAAAGGCCTTTCCCCATACCTCAAGGCAGAATAAGGAACCTCTAGAATGTTTTCTTGTGACTTAGAAATATGAGAGGAAAGTTCAGAGACGCAATCCTTACACTCGGAAGGAACAAGAGCAACTTCAGTCATACCAGTCTTGTCGATTTTAGAAGCAGCAGGAGTACGATCATCTGTCCTGTCAATGCTGATTAAAGGGCAAGGTGCAGGCTTTGCTGTGTTATCTTCTGTGAGTGTAATTAATGCCTTGGCAAGAACGTCTTGAACAGTTTCAACGGAAACAGGACCACAGTTGCAGACAGGAACTGAGCTTTCCGAGAGGCTCATCTCTACCAGCTCAAAGGATTTGCTCTTCTCACATTCAAGATCAGGATGAGAAACAGTCTGTCTCACATCTTTTAAACTGACTTCTCTTTTCCCTATAGTTTTATTTTCGGTCTTGCAACTAGGACGAAGAGAAGCTGAGCAAGAGCCTCCAGTTTCAAAAGGCAACTCATAAGTAACAGAGAGAGGTGCTATCAGCTCATGGGAATTAGATTTCACACACACACCCCCATGGATGCAAGACGATACATTGACAAGGCTTTCCACTGCAACCTCAGATAAAACCTTCATTGTTTCCACACCCTCAGTTTCTAGACAAGGTAAACCAGTCTGCGATGTGGCAGTATCCTTAGAATTCCCCGCAAGGACTAACTGGTGGTCATTTTGTATGTGCATTGGTTTCCCTAACTCACTCAGTTCTTCATTACAAGTCCCTCTGCCCATGACTGTATCTTCATAATTTTTAATAAATGACACTGAAGCAGTTAAATTATCCGCGGCTATACATTTTTCTTCTCTGGACTCCATGCTAAGTGAAGTGGGTATTTGTTCATTAAAAGGTAAAAGAGCAGTAGCAAGAAAGTTCTGTGGATTTTGCTTTTTTTCTACAGCTGCCACAATTTTCTGTGTATCACATATGCTTGGATCACCATCTTTATTTGCACTACCTGTATGCTGATCGGCTTGCTGCTGAAATGTAGTGGTACTGGAATGAAGCATCTGGACATCCAACGTTAGCTCCGAGCGACTATCCATTTGATGATTACAGCAATATTCTCCCTTACTCACCTGTAGTTCTTCATTAACTGTCTTATTTTCTGATTTGGGTGAACGTAAACAATGATCATGCATTTCTTTTGGGGACTCCTTATTAGCTGCTTTACTACAATGATTTTCTTTAATAAAGTTACAAGTGCCATTTTTGTCTGCCTGAAACTGAGCTACTGCTTCTCCCAGCAGTTCAACTTCTTTTCCAACCAAATCGCTTACAGAACTCACATTAAGGGAATTGGCAATCTGGGAAGTGGAACTGGTTAGGATCTCATTGTTTCTACTACTAGATGACAGTAATGAATCCAGTGAATATGTCCTTTCAACTTTTGTTGCAGCTAAAGCAGGTGTATGTTTTAAGTCTATCTCATGAGATGATTCAGTAGATGAAGTAGTGGTGTTTGCAGTTATTTCACGTTTACTGCTACCCAAGCAATGCTGAGCTTTACCAGACTTTTTCACTCCCATCTTAACTGCATAAGAATTTACTATGACATCATCTTCGTAATCTTTACCCTCATCTTCACCATTTTCTTTTAAGTGTCCTGATTTCGGAGAGACAGTTGTTTGGATTTCTCCATTTTCTTTGACCATTGAACCATTTCTGTTCTCAGTACTTTCTTCTCCTTTTTCAGATATTTCCGATTGATTCTTCAGTAGCTGCCTAATCCTTGCAGAACCTCGATATGTTGCATAAGTGACTGCAGGTGCTTCTGGCTTCTGTTGCATCTGCCTGTAACAAGGATCACCATTATCAGCACAAAAAAGACTATCTAAATAGCTAGTGTGATAATAAAGGTTAACACAAACTGCAGATGATGTACAATACTGTTTTCCTCCACAGGTTAGCACAAACTGTAGATCGCACACAACACTATTTTCCTCCTTTTTCTGCTCTTCCTAAATATGGGTTTGTGCAAAAATGATACATACACTACCTTTTACTGAAAAAGCCAACTTAAACTATAAGCAAAAAGTAGATGTTGTTATAACCAGCTTCTATCATTTGCTTTCTACTAGACAATGCAATTACTATTTACAAATGCCACCGCAAGTCAACACTCGCAGTGACAGAAATAAGCATACTTCTGTGAAGATGTTATACCCTGCTAAAGCAGGCCTATACTTTAAAACTGAAAATAATTACTGTACGAATGTTCATTAAAATATTGAATTGAAATCTGAATTTTTACCCAAGCTTTCAAGACATGGTTAAGGAACAGGAGTAGGAGAAGCAAAACGTGTGGAGAAAAGAAAGTATACAACAGGGAATGCTTTCTGAACCACAGGGTAGGTAAGGACAGAGAGTGAATGGAGATCAGGTAGCAATGAAGACTGCTTGAATGCTGGAAGAAATACCCAAATGAGAAGCCTAGAAATGTGACAAGGACTTAGTAAATCTAGCCTTTCATCAGTCTTAAATTTAGTAGCAAAAAAAGTGAATGCAAAAACTAACAAATGAAAGAATCACCATGGAAAAACTATGATCCTGATCCTTCACTGCCCTTTCTGATATACTAATTCAGAGCCTGTCACTTTCAATTTTCTGAAAAGGTAGGTTTTCTTCTTTCTTAAAACTAACAGACATCACAAATACACACCTTTCCTCCTAATGCTTCTGTCCTTTCCCCCACTTTTTTTTTTTGTTGGGTAAAGAATTCTCACAAAAATCAGGGAGTGACAATAGGAACATGACCATCAGCTTTTCCATTCTTCACCTTAGGACAAAGCAGACGCTCAGACTGTGCTTAAACTCCATTCTGCCTCAGCCCCCACCTAAACTAAGAACAAACCCTTTCAAACTCTTGTCCAGTCTGACCCTATGTCTGCTAAACTGGTGGCTGGAAGTGGCCATTCACCTATCTAGGAAATTGTCGTACTCCTTTCAGAAGAGTCTCTTGAAAATAAGAGTTAGCCAAGATTTTGATTTCTAATATAAAAGCATTCCAATATGTAAAAAAAAAAAAAAAAAAAAAAAAAATCTTAAAAGCATTTTAAAAAGCTCTGCAGCTTACCATTAGATCACATTTATTGAGCAGTTATTACAACTCTAGAGTTGAGGACAAATAATTTAAGTGAGAAATAGAGCATAAATTTACTAAGGAAAACTGAACAGCAAAATAAATAATTTGGTTTATTTGAGTATCATTTCGTAACTGCAACTTCAAATATTGTCTGTATGGATTTTGAGTATGTATTTTCTCAATAGGTATAGAAGAACATAAAAATGGAACGGATTTACCAATCTAAAATAGAATATATTTTCTGTCAAGGTTTTAGAGGCCCAGATTCTTACTTCGATATTAATTTTATTTTGAAGGGGGAACTTAATACTATTTAAAATCACAAGTAAACTCCCTCTTTGTGCAGTGTTTGGACATGCAAAGAGTAAAAGCAAACTAAGTGAAATTCTTCATATCTATAAGCATTAAAACAGAGATATAAACACTCATTTATATGCATGTCTTACATTGCCAGGTATATTTAGGCTAATGCCAAAATATCTGAATATGGGAACTTAGACATTGTGAGAACTTGAAAATAAAGTTTGTATTGGGATTAAATTCATTGTAATCCCTGATGAAGGCTACAGCAGAATCCCAATAGAGGTTTTATTAGACAGGTATATTAAGTTGCAGAGGAAGCAGGAAAGTCCTGTATAAACACCATGTCTCCCAAGCATTTGCAAAGTTAGATGCCTACATTTAGTCTTCTATAACACTAGTTTGGTTTCCAGAGACACCAACAGTGGTAGCTGCTAAACACACACACACCCCATTTGTTTAAGTTGCTGTCTTCAGCATTTGCATCTCTCTTTAAAGAAACATACACATTTCTGAGTGGAAGAAAGCAAAACACAGCTGGAGAGAGGGTAGTAGAGAAAAAATAAATAGATACTTTTTTGTTTTTCTTAAAAAAAAAAACAAACCAAACCAAAAAAACCACAACAACAACAAAAGAAAAAAAATTATTTTCCACTTCCACACAGAAAACTCTCTTCTACATTAGCAAATATTTTCCAAAGCTCCAGAGATCCTAAAAATCTTAGGAGAAGGATTTGTTGAGTTCTGTAGTATACTATATTCACTCATCATCAAACAGTCACAGCCATAATAAAAATAAGTCTTAAGAATGTAAGGCTTGATCATGCTCTCATTCAGAATTAACCTTACTGAGTAACATCTCCTATTTCAGTTAAGTCAGAATGGGATCAAAATGTTTTAAATAATCACTATTAAGCCTTTACAAAACCCATCAGCTCTCCCATACTTTGGCCACCTCAAATGTAAAAGTCAGTCTACAACCATCCTGAATCCAGATAAAATTTATTTCAAGAAAACGAACAGAACACAGGTTGGCACCAATCCTCCAAACAAGTTTTATGGATTCTTGAAAATGAAAACTGTAATGATACGTTTAAGGTGAGCATAGTAATGGCATTGCAAGGTACCAAACACTCATTTCCGCCACAATCAAGGCACTATTTTGAATAAACGGCTTGATGACAATTAACTTTTATTGAGCATCTTTCATTTTGCTGTTGATATTTTGTCTAATATGCAGTGGGAAGAATTCAGATTTTATCTATAAACATGTGGCGAGAACTAGCACTCTGACACAAACCTAGAAAATGTCCTTCTGTTTGTCTTCCACACCCAACTTTGCCTTCAAATTTCTCTCATGAACTCAGCAATTCTTAAACCCAAAGCATCCGGAAATAGGATGAATAAGTTAATTTTACAGAATATTGCCTACACAGAGATGACAAGGAGAACCCAGCATGATGGGGTCCTATACTCACATTGATTTGAGCCACAGATCCCAACAAAAACTTACACCATTTATAACACATGGTCAGGCAAAGCAAACATATTCAGAAATTTCTCTTTCCCTCTGTGGTGCCTTTTATCATTTTTCCCAATTCTGTTTGCCCTGCATTTGTCTTCTGAGTGAATTTTATGCTCCGATTGATGGATTTGAAGTCTGAGCAAGACTCAGAGCAATCTGCCCTATGGAGCCCTTTGCACAAACCCAATCCTGCCTAGCACTGGCTACAGCACCACTTCAGCTGCAGAGCCTCATCCTGCAGTTGGCTTCTGCCAGTGTCTCCTAACACACAGCTCTGCTTTCCTGCAGACGTGCCTCTACCAAGAGCTTCTGCAGTGGATGCTAATTTAAGAGGGAACCAACCTCTCCTCCACAGACATGGCAACTTCAGGATCTCTGACCTTTGATAAAGAATCTGCTGCTCAGCATATTATAAAAATTTTGCCAACAGACCTTTTAGTCCTAATGCATTTGCTTTTAGAGCACACAGAAGCGTGTTCAATATGAACGCTCACATGCAATGACAAGACATTTAAAAAATGAAAACCCATGTTCCTATGTGGCAGCAGCAATTCAGCTGTAAGTCTTATGAAACACATTTAGAAGCAGGTTGTGTCACAGAAAATCTTTTGAAAGTGCCACTAGAGACTTGTTTCATAGACATTTAAAGTAACAATTCATTTCTGATCACCAAAAGAATGTCAGTTCAGAACTTACCTTAAAAACTCTTTGCAAATTTTTTTTTTCAACTCATATGAGGATACAGATGAAAGCCTGATTATACACAGAACGTGGTGTGTATTCTGTCCCGTGTTTCAAATACTGGGAGACGCCTTCCTTCCCGTCTTTACAGGCAGCTATTCAATTCCCTATAAAGCCTTAATTCAGTTTCACAAAAGACTATTTGACAGCAACAAGAGAGGATGTCAACATGAGTTATGTTAAATTTGTCAAAAGTAGGTGCTTGTAGAGATCTCTTCTATTCTGAAAGAGAAACAAAAAGTTCAAGGGGGGCTAACTCAAGGAGGAGAGGGGAACATCTTCTGACATCTCATATGACAGATGTCTTGTGCAACTTGCCAAAAAAGTGGCATTAGTTATAAAACAATCTTGTTGGTTTTGAAGCCCTGAAGCAGGAGGAAACCTGCTACCTTGAATGCCGCATCTCAGTGCGTCCATAAAGGCTACATTGCTCGCATGTTTTTCCAGTGTATGTCATCAAGATGGTGACCCTCCAATCTTCATATTTATACCATACAGCAATGCAGAAAGCAGACAACCCTAGACTGTTTTCAAAAAGATGGAGGAAGATCATACAGCATGATACAGCACTACATGGGTACAGCATCTCAGATCCCCAGGCAGCACAGTTTCCTTTGCTTACTAGCTCAGGCTCGCTCAGCAGTGCCGAAGCGTAAGCATGCTGCTAGCTGGCCTGTTTCTGCAGCATGCAACACTTGGCTCTCCCAAGACATGCAATGGCCATTTTTTTTCCCCCGTCATACCTCACTCTTCTAGATATTTTCTCCCCAGTCCAGCAGTCTCCTGCTTTTTCAAGCATATCTGCGCATGTTTCCCCTAACCTCCTCTCACAGACCCCTCAGAAGTAGCTCCCAGAGCAGAGAAATCTGCAGGTTACAGGCTGAAAACCACTGCTCTAAATCAGTATGTCTCTTGTGGTTCCTGCCTACCCCTCCCTGACTATTTTCAAATTATGCTATTGTTTATTTTAATTTTTTCCACTTAGCTTTTTTCCTACTGCATACTTAACTGACAACTTTTAAAAAAGTATGTTAATGTCCTTTGTCTGGGAACAACCATCTTAAAGTCACTTTGAAAAACCTTCTGGTGGAATCCAACTTACTCGGCCAGCTGGTTTCTACACTCATGTCAGATCTTCATAAA